TCCTCCTCATCATCATCAGCAGCAGCAGCAGCATCAGCATCAGCATCATCAGCATCATCATCATCAGCATCGTCCTAATCATCATCATCATCATCACCAGCATAACCATCATCATCATCATCATCATCATCGTCATCATCAACATCATCAGCATCATCATCGTCATCCGCATCACCATCATGATCAGCATCGGGCACGACGTAAGTTACGAACTCCTCGACGAGCGATACTCCACGAACGACATGGCGCCCCAAGATGTGCAGCCCCAGATCCTCCCAGATCGCACCCAAGACAAGACCATAGTTTGAATGTGTCGCCTCGTCAAGTCGAACTCAGCTCCGCGCTTGATATCCATCGGCGCCAGTACTCGCAAACCAGCTCCTCGCACTGCAGCGGTCAACCCCGCTTCGCCAGCGAAGAGCTCCAAGAAGACACGCGCGTCTGGAGGAGGGGTAGAGTGCGCAACAACAACTTCCTCACATTCGATGTGTAGCGGGTGTCTAGATGGTAGGTTAGATGGAGAAGAAGGCGAGGCAGAAGGACGGCAGCCCACCACAGGCGTGACGGCGGCGACCCTAGGAGCCCTCACCTGACGCTCTCGCTTCCTCTGAGACATTCACTCAGGGCCTGGGGCCTGGGGCCTGGGGCCGCCGAGACCCAGCATCTGTGACGTTCAAATTTGTCGGAACATGCCTCGCACGCCATCGCACACGGAAGCCGATGCTGTAGGCGGCGGCCTTCCGACACAAAGAGTTAAGCACGCGCGATCGAGCCTGGCCCTTGTCAAAGCAACAGCAGCACAGACAGCGGTGGCCATGGTTGGTCGTCACTCGGAAAAACGGAAACACACAAAAAAAAAAAAAAAAAAAAAAAAAAAAAAAAAAAAAAAAAAAAAAAAAAAAAAAAAAAAAAAAAAAAAACGCCTGAGGTCCGCCACGCAGATCCTGCCCTCCTTCACGTCGATGTGCTCATCGTAGCGCCAGCGGCCCTCCACGGCCGTAGCCCAGCCCTCCGCGTCGGTAAAAGCGGCGGGCAGGGCGGGCACCACTGGCCCTGGCGGCCAGCTCCGCGGCCGCGCGGGGGCCCCTCGCCCCGAGCCCGGCCCGCGCGACGGAACAGCAGCTTCCCCAGCTCAGCGTCGCGCCAGGATCCAGCAGGCCCTGCAGCACGAACGCCGACGTCAGCGCGCTTCGCCGCTCCCTCAGCCAGCATAGACCCGAAGCCGTCTGTGACGCCATGGAGCTGGTTGAGGTAAGCCGCGTGTAGACGCTGGTGTTAGAGTCCGCCCCGACCTCCACGAAGCGCCAGCGCTCCCGCCAGCGGTGGGCGCCCCAGACCGCCCGAAACGGCCTCCTCCCGCAGGTCAGGCTGAACCCACCCGAAGAGGAGTCCGACGCGTGAACCTCGTCGGACAGAGGGGCGCCCAAGTCGACCTCGGTCAGGAGGCAGGCGACAGCCGCCATCCGCAGCTCGCCTCTCACCAGCGGCGGCAAGGCGGCACGACGCCGCGAGCCACCCCCGACGAAGTGGCACACCTCCTGCAGCGAGAGCAGGCAGGGCTGCAGCCCCAGCAGCGCCACAGCGCGCCCCGCCCAGGTGCGAAGCTCAGGCCCACTAGCGCGGCCCCTCTTCAGCAGGGCCTTCGCGGCGAAGTAGAAGCGCCACACGCGCCGCGGCTTCTGGCACACTCGGCGATCAGAACCGCATGCTCTGGCTCCTGCACCGCGATGCTGGCCGCGCGCAGGCCCGGCCCAGCGACGGCAGCGCGGGCCTGGAACGCCCCCACGCCAGCAGCCGCATCAGCCGCCGAGCCCCCGACGCCTGTGAAGTTGTCGACGTGCACGGCGGCTGGCGGCTTCCCAAGTCGAAGCAGCGGGGCAGGTCGCTTGCCCCGAAGCAGCTGGCGGTCTCCATCCAGGCACGAGGCTCGAACCTGGTTCGACACCACCTCCTGAGCGAAGTAAAGCGCCCAAGCCCAACCCATGGGAAGCACCCTCAGGCAGGGGCACAGCATCTCCCCAGCGACCGCAGGCGTCCACCCACCGACGGAGTCGCCCCAGGTGCGGTAGAAGTCCAAGTCCCAGTCCTCCAAGCGCAACGCCGAGTCGAACCCGAACCAGCCCCCCATCTCCTCGTTGGCCAGCTGGTAGAAACAGTCCTTGATATCAGCTCCAGAGAAGTGAGGCTCGCAAACGCCTCCAACACCTCCGAGCGAAGCCGCGTAGCCACTCAAGTCGATCTCCGAGATGCAAGCAGCGCCTCCGAGAACGGTCCGAGGCGGAGGCCGATGACACATGTTGGTAGCCCTAGCGTCGCAGATGAAGAGGATGTCGCCATCTCTCTCGCGAACAAAACAGGCGCCACAGCGAGATTTGATCGCCCGCCTGAAGCCCACGATGCCGATCTTAGCAAGTCGGCGGGAAAAAGCCACGTCGCAGCTCAGCATCGCCGCGAAGTAGCGGGCCCCAATACGGCCCGGGCAGACCCCGGCCTCGCGGACCCGATCGGCCACTTCAGGCTCGGTGAGCTCGATCTGGTTCTGATAATGACGCGGAAAGCCTGCCGCCTCAGCTGGCAGCAGCTCAACCACAGGAACTGGATGGATGTCCCCCTTGCACACCCACAGCTTCGCGACGTCGTAGCCGGCCAAATGCTGCGGCCCCAGCTCGCACTGGCCAGTGGATCCGAGGATCTCCCGAAGGGACCTCTCGCCGTCCACCGCTTCGCAGGGAGGATTGCCGAAGAAGTCGATCCGCTCCTGGACGAACTCCAGCACGCTGCGCTGCACTGCTGTCGGCGGCTCTCCACGCGGCCTGACTCGTCGAGCTTTGTCGACTCCTGAAGTCACGCGGGGGCGGCGAGGTAGTTGAGCGTCTCAACTGCCCCCAAAACTCGCCGTTGCCTCTCAGCTCTGACCCCCACCGTCGCACGGTAGAGCGCGGGGCCCCAGCTGGCCCCCTCTCGACGTCCACCACAGGCAATTGGGACAGGGTCGTCGTGAAGCCACTGGGCGCGAGGCCACCAACTGCGCTTGGCACCGCCTCCAGCTTCACCAGAACGGCGCCCACCGTCCTTGGGCTCGGCCAAGCCCTGCTGATGAGCGCCGATGGAGGAAGTCGCCCCCCCCCCGAACCGCCGCCCGTGGGGGGCCTGTCCTTGCCGCCCTTCTTCACCCGCTTGTCCTTCTTCTCCTCGCCACCCTTCTGCCGCTTGTCGCGATCGTCAGTCGGCCGATCTCGATCAAGCTCCTCCTGCGCAGCCGCATCTGCTTCAGGATGTGGGCACGATCCTTCTGGCGGGCAACCACGCGCTCCAGGTACTTCGGCACCGAGGCTGGCCCACTCGCCGCAGTCGGTCCTGCGACGACGTCCTCCAGCCCCGAAAAGTCGGGGTGCCGCGGGTTCCTCTGCACGGCCATCTTTATCTGGATGATGCGGCGCACCGCCACCTCCATGCAGTGGAGGTCATTCGCGTTGAGCTGGTCCAGGCAGACGGCCCTGCGGATGATCTCTAGCAAGATGCGGCGAATCAGAATCAGAATCAGAAGGCGGGGTGCCACCGCAGACAGCACGCACAGAACGCACACTACGCTAAGATAAAGCAATGCAGACAAACTCAAAACTGGCGCGGACCACGTCCGGCTGAGGGGGAAGGGAGGACGGAGCTGGGGTAGAGAATGGCGCGCGAGCCAGGCGGCATGTGCTCCAACGCATATCGAGCGCCATCGTGCCACCGCTGTCGTGGACGACGGGCCGCCTCAAGGTGCGCGCGCCAATCCAAGACACGGAAGCAATGACGATGGCTCCACCAACGTCTCTGGCGACACAAGTCCTTGGCCTCGCTAGCCCTACGGCGGAAGTAATCCGGCGCCTGTTCGCCGGCGCGCCGCGGCACTCGCATGAGTAAGCCGACCATGCGGCGCTGACATGTGCCAATGCGCCCTTCCAGGGTGGCGGCCGGAGGCCATCGGCTGCATCGATAATCAAACACGGGAAGTACGGCCCGATCCAGCAGCTTCAGACGCTGTTGCAAAGGGACCCCCCGCAACCGATGCATTGAGCAATTTGCCCAAAATGCTCGCCACATGGCGGCCAGGGCCCTGTCGACACACATCGTGCACGCTCCGGTATTCTCGAGGACGTGGCCCAAAGCTTCAAACGAGTTGGTTAGTGCCCAAGCGGACGTGTCCGAGACGGAAGGGTCGCCTCCTGCAGCCACCATGCAAGCTTTACTAGAATGCTTGATCTTGAGCCCCCAATCGGCGAGAATGCGGGCCTCAAACTCGTCCAGCATGCACGTTGCATTATACAAAGTATGGCTTACAGAGTAGACATTGTCGACGTATGTAGCGATGGCAAGATGCACAGACTGGTCTAATTGAAAACCACGGCGCCGGCAGACCTCGGACATCTTGCCGAGCGCGGCCTCCACCGGGATGCGGCCCAGGGCGCCAGCTACCCGGCCCCCAGTGAGACTTCCACGAGATCGTTTGCCCAGGTCGGCATCTATGTCACCGACGCGCAAGCTCACTTTCGGGGGCAACTGATGACGAGCCGCTGCTGCCGCAAGCTCCTGGGGCATGCCTCTGGAGACGCACCGCTGCAAAATACCCACTACGGGGAGAGAGTCGTAGTAGGCTTCAATATCACTTTGGGCGACCGCGGACTGGCTATGGTCGCCCAGGCCTCTTTCGATTATGAGGTGCAGGGCGTGCGCAATGTCCAATGCTTGCGTGAACGGCTGGGCTCCAACCCAGCAGCACTGTGGCACAGCAATGTTCTCGTCGATCCATGTGTTGAGACGCTGCGCAACCAAACAGTCTAACACCTGGAGGTCAGCCGGGAGGGGCATAATGGCACGCAGCTGCGTGGGCTTCGGGGTGGCGGTGCCTTTCCCCCGCACGCGCCCAAGACTGCCAGAGCAGACATGGCAACGCTGGAGCCCGCTAATTCATTAAAGTATCGAGCACAAAGGTCTGAGTCACATTTAAAAATCATGTGGTGCATACGCACGCACCGCCCGACATTGTCAAATTTGCCGATATTCTTAGGGCGGGCGAGCGCCACCGCAACTTCTGCGCGAGTGAAGCCGGGCTCAAGCCCCTCCGCACCGCAGACAAATTCCACGAGAGGCAGGATCGATTCGGGCTCATCTGACCCCCATTTGGCATCGAAGCAAGATTTGACTGCTCTAGCCCATTCAGCCGGAGACTGCGACAGAGAGGACTGAGCTTCGTCCTCAGGAGCGCTGGGAGACGACGGCAAGTGCATCCCCGTCACTGGCCGCAGCTTTGAGCTTTTCTTGAAAACTCTGCCCTGCCGAATGGTGGAAGCTATCCTGTGAACCCTTTCCTGGCGGACGTGCAGTTGCAGAAACTGCCATGCCTGGCTGCGAAGCCGGGCGCGTTCGCTCTCCGACGCGGCGTTGGCGGCTCTGCGGTGCAAATCTCGGCACTGCAATGGCACGCGGGCAGCGGACCGTGCCGCGCACGCACTGCTATCGGACCAGCTGTCGCGGAGCGCTGCGAAAGCTGCAGCGCAGACCGCATCAGACTGCAGCTGCAGATGCGGTGCTCGTGGTTCTGAGTGCCACCTGCAGAGACACCGCTGAGCCGTTCCCACTCTGCCTGGCAGCTCACAAGGTTCCCGCTGCCCGTGGCGACCGACGCAAGGAACTCCCCCATCGCACGGGGGCCGAGATCTGGGGCGTCAGCCAACTCCACATGCTCCATCATCTCGACGGCGTCTCTGAAGTCCACGTCACGACGCCCGAGCCTCGAGCGATGGTCCCCGATGGTACGGATATCAACGCCTCGCTCGCGCTGGTCTCGCATCCAATCGCCCCGCTCCTCGCGATTGATATTCACGATCAGGCGCTCCACACCGTCGAGGGAAATCACACCCATCGACCGCATATGCACAAATCTATTCGGATTCTCGATGGCCTGTTCGTCGAGCACCTCGCCGAACCTCGCGTCCCTCGGATCATCGATCACCCAGACCGTCGCCTTCTCCTCCAAAGCGTCTCCAGCACCCAGCAAGGCCGCTCGCTGCCGCGCCTGGCGCTTCAT